GACTCTATAGATATAGGAAAAACCCTGAGATCTAAAGGTTCTCAGGTAGATGTCATAGTCTCTGACTGCATACATCTATAATTGAAGAATAATAAATAATAATAATAATGTAGAGATTATAACTTTGTGTATAATAAAACTCATCATAATTTTCTCTAGAAAAATTAGTATTAGAAAGAGAGAATAAAAAAGAGAAAATTTATACTCTTAATACTGTTAAGAAGAAAGATAATCTTGTGAGATAAATACATAATTATCTTACTATAAATATTTAAAATAAATATAATAATTGATGTCTGTGACTGAACTTCAGATAGTTGTGTTATACACAGTCTTTATACAATAGATTATTCTAGAGATTGGGAAAAAGAGTAAGAGTGTATATACTGAGAAATGAGATTTACTGAGTCTATGTAATATCTTCTTGAAATGAGAAGAGCTGAGAGCAGTAGCTGAAGTAGCAGAGATAGTAGAGATAAGAGTAGTAATAGCAGAGATAGAAGTGATGATAGCAGAAGTAGTAGAAGTAGAGGTAGAAGTGGTAAGAGTAGAAGAACAGAATACTGAGATAAGTATAGAAGATTAAGAGAAAGTGACAGAGAAAGAAATAGTAATAAAAGAGATAAAAAGAAATGTGAGAGACTTAACTCTATATAATATAAGTAATTTCTTTATTATCACATTCTTTAAGTTCTTGATTAATAACTCACTATTAAGATATTTACTATTATCAGTCGATATGAATCTGACAATATATGAAAATTCTATATAAATAAAAATAAATAAATCAGCATCTGTGTTCATGTAAAAATTATACTAGAAAAACATGATTAAAAGCTCACTGAGAAAAAGAATTAAGAGTGTATAAGAAGATAAAAAAGATATATTATTTATAATAATATATTCTGATAATTGTTAGAAAAACAAGTTCTACTTATATTTCATAATATATTTCACTTACAGCTAATAAACTGCTCAGTATAAGTACTATAATAATACTTGTTTTAAGAATAAGAAGTCATGATCAGAAACATATATAATATACTAAATAAATAGATAAAATATGTTAAATAAGAGAGAGAGTAGAAATCTTGTAAATAATAATAGTGGTTAATAATAATAATAATAGAGATAATGATTAAAGAATGAAAAAGTTAGTAAATAAATAATATAATATAGTGAAAGCTTTTTTATAAGAGTTTAAGTAGAATACTAGTTAAATCAGAGATAGACTGTATAATTATAAGTAATAGCAGTGTGCTAATCTGCATGAAGCTAGAGCTTATATTATGATTATATAAGTGTAACTGAATCTAGTGAGAGAGAATGTAATTTAGAAGAATGTACAGCTGCTGAATAATAACACAGCTGCTTCTGAACATGCTTATGAATGTAAGAGACTCTAGCAGCCACTAATTAATTTACATATAAGAAGCCGGTGTATGTTTATAATCTTACACTGACTTAAGCAACCTTTGAATCACATAGCAAAGCAGTAAAAAAATATAAATAAGACTGTAAGAGCTGCTCAACAGCAGATTAAAAAGAAGCTTAGAGATGTAAGAAAAACTCAAGAGTAAAAAGATAAAGAAGAATGAGCTGCTGTACAGCAGTAATTACAGTTGAATCAGAAAAAGATTAAAGAGTTCAAAAATCATCTTTCTAATTAGAAAAGTAGATTTTTAATTTTATAAAGAGTGATTAATTTACATTTTCAGAGCTCTGTCAGAGTGCTTATGAATTCACTGTTAAAGAAATCTGATAATATTACAATCTCTAATAATTTAATAACTGCTTACTTACTGAATCTGTCTTTATTCAAGATTTCATATTTTAAATGAGTTATTAAGTCAAATAAACATCTATAGAATTAGCTGTATATTTTTATGTGTAATTTTCTATATATATTTTTATCATATAATATATCACCTTAAAATCTAATTTTGTTGTTGAGATATCATTGAAAATATTTCATCATAGTCATGGCGAAATGACGGGTGTTGGGTGTAAGCGGGCGTTGAGTGGTTGATCACGTTACATCGGTTCCCAAGTTATGACTCTTCATCTCTAGAATTGAAAATAGTTACTTCTCCCTTTTGTGATCGCGCAGCTCATGGGTGTTTTAAACGGTCGTGAAAACTCGGTGGTCAGGCACCATTTCTTTTCGCGATCTCTTACACCAAGGCAACTCAAAAACCGAGATTCTAATATGATTGCAGTTATAATAACATATGAGCCTGGTTATTCCTGAATCCATTCTTGATCTATGGGTGTCTACAGTTGTGATGAGCCTCAATGAGCCTCTTGACTGGCACTGCCTGCCAAACCTTATCTCGACTACACCCGTTTCCCCTTTTCTCGCTCTTTTCGATATACTCTGTGCACAGTTTCCAGTCTTCATTTTGATACCCGTCGGAAGTAAAACGATATTGCCTTTTAGACTAGAGTCTGAGTTTTATCCTCTCTTGCCTTGGCCTTACACTTCTCCTCCCTCTTTTGTTTGCCCGGCTCCAGCGGTGGATTGAAATGTTACGCAGCCGCTTTGAACTGGGATCGACGATACATATATATAAAAATGAGGAAATCCGGCTTAGAACGGCCACATCAGTAGAAGTTTCTTGTCCAGATTCGATGGCAGATTTAGACCGCTCAACCCTACTCGAGGCTTTGCAATCGAGGGACGTTTGGGTCTTCTCGAAACCCCACTTGGAGTTGAAGATCTCCATTGGAATGGAAAGCTCCTTGCATAGATATGACAGATCTGTCGACGGGATACTGAAGGAGATGAGGTCCACTTTGATTAAATCACAGGTCAAAGCCAAACAAAAACCTTATCATTGAATATCCCCTTTCTAACATATCAGTATAGCTTTGGCATAACCTTCAAGCTTCTATGGTATCTGCGAATGACGAGATTCTAACGAGCGAAGAAGGGATTGATTCCTTAAACTGTGTCTTTGAATTCCAACAAAAGTCAGGGCAGTTTCCACTGCATAAACCACCGCGGATGCCCCACACCTTACGTACCCGTTCATCAGCCATCGATCCTCCACCTAGTGTTCTCCGAATTCACCTTTGCGATATCTGTATCCACTTCAGCTTTTTGTCAAAATCCTCAAATACTACTTCGAAAGCTAGCTTCGACAGCATGCCTAGATGTACTAGCTTTGAAGATCTATCATCCATTCTCTCCCCACCAGGAGGTTGTCTTGCAGAGATGGATCCTACACTAGAGCTAGGCGATACCTGCCACTCCTCTCTTGGCGGATCTCAAACGAGAGTCCAAAGTGACGATGATTGGATGTCTCTAGATTACGACTCCCCTTTTTGTAGCCAGCAGACCTCTTCCATTTACTCTTACAGAACTATGTCCCCCCTTCAAACAGAACTCCCGCGAGTGCCCCCCAAAGCCACATATCAGCCATTCATGACACTGCTCAACAGTGGATTCTGCGCGTTGTTAGGCCAAACCACTCCTCAAACCACATCTAGTATCACAACGATTATTGAGACTCCTGGCCCCAGTTTACAGGAATTTGCTCCGAGTTTGTTCATCCCCGGGTATGATACGGTAAGTCTTATTGCGTCCCGGGCAACTGCCGGATGTGTCTACTTGTCTGACGTTGCCCATTTCAGAATATACGACAGCGCGCACATTTTATTCCCATGTTATCTAAAGGGATCGCCGCTATGCTGGACAACGTCCCTCAACCGGATGCCAGTATTCAATTAGAGAGCGCTGCGAGCGTTTCGGTTTTTCCTGAAGCGAATTATGAACGCGACGGAAGAACCAGTGATTTCACGAACACTACAAATACAAAATCAGGGCTGAAATCTCTTCTTTGGAGATCAATGCATCGCCGGCTTTTTACGCTCGTGGCACGGCAATTACCAAGCCTTACAACACCCTTGAAACCTACAAAGAACGGGACATCACAAACTACCATACCCTCAAAATCGCCACCTGATAGTTCCATAGTTATATCAGACCCAGTTAATGATCAGAGCCTCCACCCAGCCAGTATATCAGATACAGAATGGTGCTTCTCAGAGGAGAGCGATGATGACGATACCCTCCCCACACTCAAATTAAATTCCGAACCGAGTGATCGCGATACCTATCTCACCAACTCCTTCCAAATCCAACACTCAGATCCTGTCCGCATCATCAGCCCCAACCATGACGACGAACATGACCTCCTCGACAATATCCCCAACACAATCGAGAAACCGACCCCATTCTCATCCCCCACAATCGCCATCCTAGACGACGACCTAGATATTTTAGAACACACAGAACATGAAGAAATCCTAATCTTAGACACCCCCTATCTTCACCCTCTACAAACTGAATCACCCGGCCAATCATCAACGTCCCTCACAAGCACGACCAGAAGTACAATCACAGCCACGGCCACAGTAAAAGGACACATCCCACCCTCAGCCTCTCCACCCAGTAGCGAAATGGAAAACCTCGATCCATCTTCACCCGCCATGATCCCGGAGGAACTCCTTCTCTCCCCCACACTCCACCCCTTCAATGCTACAATCACAGATCCCCACAATGCCACCGACCTCTTTGATGCAAAATTACCTAGGTCTCCCCACTCAGATGGAAGCGGTAGCGGTTTTGGAGGTGAGATCTGGGATGCGGAGATGTTACTGCTATAAGCATCTAATAACAGGTAAATCCCATATCTAACGCGGGATATATGCTCTATTGCTCTGGATGCACCTCTCTTATCTTTCCATCTGTCTATTTAACTCTTACTTTGGAAGGGAGGATATGTATGTATTCGTATACTTTGACAAGATATTCCTGTATTATTACCATCTTTCCGGTTACTATTATTATCCTTAACTCAGTTTTGTTTCCTCTCTCATTTTCATACAGATAATAGAAAAGCCCCTCGCTGTATAGCATTCTCTCTCACTAAATACTTGTTTAATTTGTATTTTTTAATATTTGTCCATGTTGAGATTTAAATCAGAACAGTAGATTATGAATGAAATTAAATATAAAATTAATTTCTCGAATCGTTCTCTAGGTTATAGCTAGCTAAGTGAAAACTTGTCTAAACGGGTGTATCCAACCGAAGGCTCGTTGGTGCTTTGCATTTAATATGAGATCAAGGGATTGAAATTTAAACTCGTATCGGAAAAATAAAAGCGAAAAGTGGGGGGGAAGGGATGAGAGAGAAGCGCATAATGAACATCATTGCGCAGGTTGAGAGAAATAGATTTGGGTTAAAGAAAATCAAAACCAAAAACCTAGAGACAGTCTCCCGTCGAACAGAGCTTCCTCAATCTAAAAAATCTTACATGCTAACATAGCGATCACGAAATGAAGATAGATAGATATTGCTCCTGCTTTCTTTTATTCCGTCCTTTTAGCCTCCTCCGACAAAACTCAGAGTAATCATAGATATCAAAGCTAACGAGGAGGCAAAGAAAATATATTAAATGTTCCGTGTAAAACAGGCATTTGTTATGGTTAATTAGGGTATATATACGCAATGAACGGGATAATATATACAAACATATGCAAATGGAGGCAGAGAGGATAGTGTATGGGAATAAAGGAGGTGGCACGGAAGGTAGAGAATAAGCGAGGAGACGAGAACATTAAGGGGCGAGCCAAAAATATAGAATAAGCGGAAACAGTTAAGCTTTCCCCCCTTCGGAAGGTAAATAAACCGGGCGGGGAAAAAAAGGAGTAAGGGTGAGGGGATGTATGATCTAATCAGGCCATTTATGGATATATGTGTAGGTATATGGCGATAGGAGGACGAGGATATGGTGGGAAAAAGAATTATCAAGGGCTGGTGTATACATACCGTATAATGAAATGCACCGGTGCAAAAGTAATTTTTTTTGGGGGGGGGGAAACGCTAGCAGAAAAGGGCTAAATGAGGCGGAGGGAACATGATGATGGGCAGATGAATTAGGATAATCAGTGAAAATATGGATAGGTGGTACGGTAAGTGTAGGTAGGAAAACATAAATAACAATGGCAAAGAGACTATACCGTAGACAGATAGGAAAGACGACCAAAGCCAGCCGTATATGAATAAAAATGAAAACAAACCCCAATCCCAACCTGAGGAAACTAGCATTAAAACAAGAAAGAGCAAAGGGAAAGGGAATTGAAAGATGAAGACACGGACCAAGAGAGCAGTCAAACAGGAAAGAGAAAACTGAACCGCTGCATCATCGAGGAGGGAATTTCTAGAAAGATGGAAGACGGCCGTAGGGAAAACAGGCAACATGCTAGAATCGGATAGAACAGAGATTTCATCATTGGTGAGAGAACCAGTCAATATGAAACCAAACTTCCAAGCAAAACTCAAAACGTATAACATAAGCAACACATACACCTCCTTTTTGTATTTGCAAATGCCAGGAGATAGTCAGATAAATAACCCTGAAGACTATCATGGCTCTTCCATTACCTCATCAATCGTATGCGATATGCGTGTCCCGTTGGTTGGTCCACTTTCAATATCCATGTTTCCATTCTCCCCAATCTGGTTTTCAGGACTCCGCCCGCTGTGCTCTCCAATGCTAGCAAGTCCACCCTCCGTTGATGACTCTTCTTTCATGCATGCATTTTCCAATATATTTGTCCACTTCCCACTTGCGCCCGCGTGGCTGTGCTTTAGATGCTGTCTAAAATGGTCTGCCCGATAAAATTTCTTCGCCTGGTTGCATTCTCCAAATTTGTGCACGCTAGTCAAATGATCGATTCGCCGATCCCAGTCGGGTTGTGGAAAGTTGGCGAACTCGTCACCGCAATATCCACAGGTGTCATGGGAAGGTCCCGTAGGGGATTGACAGTTTGCGGAAACAGATGGGTGGAAAGCAGCTTCAACGCCGGATAATGCAGCACATGACCAGGAATGTCGCCGCAGGTGAAGGGAGTTTTGATGTCGCTCAGCCTCATTCTTATTTTTGAAGCGCTTGTTGCAAAACTGGCAAGTATATTGTTTCTCCATTTCATGAGCGCTAAAGTACGATCAATATTAGCTCATTTAGACAGAAAAAGAAATTTCTGTATACAATAATGGGGGGCTCACAGTAATTCCTCAGCGGTCTCGAACTTCTTCGGTTTCTTTGGACAACATTCGCAGATGTGAAGGCGATTTATCCGTGGTGGCGCAGCTTTGGATACACTCAGGTTATTCGGAAGCGACATATTACGGACGGGAGGCGCACTTTTCACGTCTCCCTGATGAGGGGTTCGCGACGATGCAAGACCGGAGAGCGATTTACGTGCACCAGGGCTCATAAAGCCTTTTTCATAAGAGGAGGCGAGATCTGTCGTTGGAGAGATTCCTCCAGGAGAAGGGCGATCGAAAGAGGACAAGCTGGTCATGCTGCTAGCTGCAGCAGAGAGTCCTGTGGACGATGCATAGGAACCAGTTCGCAAGCTTGCCGAAGACACTGAGGAGATAGAGCCATGACTTGGCTGGTACCGGGCACCAGGTGATGTGCAGCCATTGAATGGAAATCCAGATGTTCTACGTTGGTCTAGATCACCGTTGCTGGCGCTTGTGTGAAGAGCATGCAGTTCGTCCGAAACGGCTCCTCGTGGTGGAGATGAAGCTCTTCGTTTCATACCCTGTCTAGACAATGGAGACATGCCACCCAACTGAGATGGCCCGTGTTCATCAACGCTTAACTGCCTAGACTGCGCTGCTTCGTCTATTGGGAACTCTATATCTGAATCAGGAAAAAGATTCTGGTCATAACTACCCCTATTGGATCGACTATATAGGCTGGTTGCGTCGTCATTCGCATGATGTGTCCCGGGGGAGAGGTTCCTATCCCGGAAGTGATCGAAATCAATGTGATGAGGTGTGGTGCTATCAACACTCGGGCTACGACAGCTGACATAATCTGTCCACCCTGGCCGGGTCCCTGGCGATATTCCGGCAGATTGAGGTCCGCTTTGCCAGCGAGATGCTGCATCACGAGGACTCAGAGATCCATCTCCAATTGACAGGCTTGAAAGTCCATTTCGATTTTTTGAGTGAAACGGGAGTGTCGTAAACTCCTTTTGACTGAAACTCCCTAGACTGGCAGATAGGCGAGGAGGGGAGCTCGGTTTGCCTATTTTAGAGAGCAGGTGCTGATCATAAGCATTGGAGGATCGTTCTACACTCTTCTCGGATAGCGGTTTTTCTCCTTGTAAACTATTAGAACAAAATTGTATGTGCACATTAGCATAGAGTACTGTATGCGGCTTGTTTTGCTAGAATTGTGCATATCATGCGACTAGAGAAAGCCAGAGAGCAATGAGAAAAGAGAACGGGGAACATGAATCAGAACGTGGCCGAGGATTTTGTGAACGGGTTTTTTTTTTTTTTTTTTTTCCCTTTTTTTTAAAACAAAAGTGCTGGGATATACTGACCGTGGACTCGGTAGACTAGAAGCAGCTGGACTAGGGAAGGAAGTGCCTCTCAATGTCGAATATGAAGATCTGTTCCTCAATGATGACGAGACTTCGGCAGGCGACATCGCGCTGCTCCTTTTGATATCTCTGTCCAAGGTAACTCTCTCAGTTCGGCGGACCAGCTCTGGGCGACTGTGACCACCACCTACAAGGCTCGATGACGGTTTTATGGGAGGCAGAGTAGGTTTCCCAAACCCTCCTTCCTCGAAACTATTCCCCCATTTCCATCCAGAGTCGTGCCCAATTGCAAGATCTTCAATGTACCGAGGTGGGGGTAGTGGCGGCGGTGCCACAGGCTCTTTCGCATTTGGAATGGCCATTGGACTGGGTGAAGTCGAAAGAGACCGGAAGGGAAGATTGAGCGCTGTAGACTTGGAAGCAGGCGATCGACGGCGATCGTTGATTGAATGGTTGAAGTCACAGACGAGAATTGAAGGCGGCGAGCTCATGGGTGGATTACTATCCATACTCATCACATGAACCGCCACGAGCTGAGCATCGAGATCAGAGGGCCTGGAACAGCGAAACGGAAACGGGAGGAGGCTCGTTTAAGCCCGTAAAGGTGGGATAAATAGTGGCGACGGTGGCGACGGTGGCGATGAGAGACGGGCCCGACCTTGATGGGCTCAGCTGGAGCAGCAAAGTGCTGGCTAAATAGCAGTGGTAGCCAAGCACGTAGCGAGATGCATAGGGCTTAGAAAACGAATGACCATGGAAGTGACCATGGAAGTGGAGAAAGGGAAGGGCAAGGGGGAGAGAATAGAGGTGAGAATGAAGAGGACATGAGGCAGCAGAGGATCGAACGAGAGAGGGAAGAGGGGGGTTTGGAGAGATTTGGGGAGATTTGGGGAGATTTGGGGACGAGAGGAGTGGAAGTGGAAGTGGTTGAAGTGGTGAAGTGGGCGGTGATGCTGAGATGTAGCGCTTGTGGTGGTGGTTTAGCGGTGGTTTAGCGGTTCACGGTGGTTGAGGAGGAATTGGCCTGGGCTAGCTGGGGCTGGTATGGTACTGGTACTGGCACTGGTACTGTATGTATGTATTTATGTATGTATGTATGTATGTAGATGTTACATGTACATTATGGTTATATTGGTATTACTGTAATATGTTTACTCGAGGTATTTATATAAATACAGTACAGCCAGTACAGTACAGTACAGAGCACTGTCGGTTATATATCAGGGCTAACAGATACCTAGGTGAAATGGGAAATGCCGGCCACCAGCCTAGTTCAATAACCTACCGTAGGCATAACCACCCAGCCACCAAATGTGTATTTGGTAGGGCTGAGTCAAGGATACACAAGGCTTGTAAACCAACACCAAATTCTGACATCGTATTATATACAAGCGAAACATACAGTGCGCTGTTATGCTGGGGAGATTGTATTACCGGCGTTCTTGCTGAGGTGCATCACATCTTTCCTATCTAACTAACCCCCTCCCGCTCCTACAGGAACCAAAGGAGTTCAACAACTCAACCACTCATATGGCTTCGATTCCAGACTCCGATTTGTCGCAATGAGACTGCTTGGTTTTGAGGAAACTTTCCTATATCTGTAGATTTGGCCTGTCGCTGCTCCTGCAACTTTGACAATACTCAAGGATCTTGTTTCATCCGCCAAGTCGCTAATAGTTCATTTGCATCCCCCCCTAGGTTCCTTATTGGGTCTATAGGATTACGGAGGCGGCGAGAATAAACGGAGGAACCGATGAACAAGGCGCTATGTGACAGACAGCTGTCTATCTATATTCACTGCTGACTTAGAGGTGAGGCTCTCTATTGCCATGGGGACTTTCGCTGTTGCCTCTTATTTCAATCTCAATGATGATGATATTAGCCTTCCACCGGACATATCGGAAGCCCAATGGAAAGAAAGTACAATACATAATCTGGCAAGCAAGCCCGTAGGGATGAAAAAGCGCACCACCAAAGCCGACCAGCCACCAAGGCGGGACGTTTGGATGGAGGCTGTGATGAATACCCTGTATAAATTACTGATCAACGAGTGAGAACGGACGCCGTTGTTTGTCAAAAACTCGGCTCCGCATTTTTGAGAAGCCAATTGTTCAGTTCATCGCTACCATATGGATAGCGGAACAAAATAGCTTTTGGAATGTGGGCAGAACAGCTGACACAGCAGCTGACAGAATAGCTGACGCAATAACTACATTGAGAGGTGTTGATTGACAAGAGTTATTCAAATGGCTTCTCTCTGTCCCACTGACATAGAAAGTGAGAACAGCAGCGGGCTTCGCGGAAGTGACCACTTTTTGGAGGCTGGCTAAGGATCGAATTTCTCGTATGAAATGGGTTCCACTCCGAGTCCTTGCTAACAACCCATGCCCCGGTTGCAACGGAATTTCGAGCTTGGAACCTTTCTCCTGATGACAGTCTTCCAGCCATCGATTCTTCCTTCAACCATTATGGCACACCAACTTTGAGGAATGCATGTGCTACGTGTGTGAGAAAGAAGAACCTTCGACTGAAGTCTCCATTGCCCTGGATTTCTGACCCATGGATCAAGGAACAATAATATTGTGCTAGTAGTGGAGAGCGGGTGATGACACCCTCCCGCACAAGACATGGAGAGCGTTCATACCATGCCTTACAGAGCAGTAGGGTTGGCCTTTCAAGCATTAGCGACTGGAACTGCGACACGGGAACTGACCAACATTCAACAGAAACGACTATCTTCACCGCGAAGCGCGTTTCTCTAACCTACTTTGGGGATCCATCTAATACCTTGGGACCTGCTCGGCCCTTCTCTATTATTACCCTGGAAATATTATATTTTCCGTTTCTGGTATTAATAGGGAAAATTATATTGCCGTAAATGGTCCATGTAACTAATGCGCAGTTAAAAGGGGGGCCCCTATCAATCCCGCAAACTGCTATCATTTTGAAAAACATCAGTAATTCGTGGTTGAGAAGTTTTATTACATACAATCTTGCTTGCTTGTTTGATGGGAGGACTCATCGCAACAGGGCTGATATCCAGATACAGGTACGATTTTTTGACTGGCCAGCACATAGTTACAAGCGCAAGTGTGGTGTTACAGCCTTATCAAGTTTCGATAAGGTAATCAATAAACCAAGCCCTGTGGGCGTCCTACGACCCGTCGCCCTTGGAATGCCGGCAGCCAGCTCAATCACCAACGGATCAGACGAGCAAACGCGGATGAGAGGCAGGAGATAAAGTGTCGATACAAAAGAAATATGTTTCAAGGAAATTCCCAGTCTTGACCTACGCGGAGCTTCGACAACCCAGGAGAAACCAACCACCAAACATGGAAGAAAAAAGAGAAAACAGAAAAAGAAGAAACACCCCAATTACATCCCGCATTAGTTTCACTATTTTCCTTCGCCTTGTAAGGATTTTAAAACAGATATCAATCACCGTAACATCCAACACACCAACCACTCCTTATCAAGCCAAACAATCGACTGATCATCGCGGAGTTTTTTTTTTTTTTTTTTTTTTTTTTTCTCCTCTCCCTCTCTCTTTTCTCTATTCTCTACTCTTCGCTTGACTTATCCTGTCTCTTTGATCCCAGCCTTCATCAACCATTCCCGGCTGCTCCCAACCTAAAAACGCCGCGCTCTCCCTCGTAATAACACAGTCCAGCTATTTACCATGCCGCCACATACACAAAACTTACTCACTGCATACTACTCCGTAGCTATCATTGTCCGCAGCTCTACGGGCTTTCATGTACTTTTCCCTGTTTCCGTTGGCGAGGATGCCTATCACCCAAAATGCCGCGATTTGGGAATGATATGGAATGAGCCGTGACCCCAAGAAACTAGCAACTTAGGACTCGGAATGGAGCGTATTTGTCTTTGGTCCATATTTCATTCCAGTTGACTTGTCTGTCAGCTCTGTCTACCGAGTTACTCCACGCCTTGTCTACAGAGAGCAGAATTAGCTACTTGGTTTCCGGCGCATATAAAAAAGGAATGAGGCGGAGTGGTACTTCAGTACGTATTTGTATAGTACAACGCCCGTGGTACGGAGGACATATACTTATTATATGTACGGAACTATTATCATTGGCTCCTCATCTTATTGTGGTCAGCATGATATCAGCTTACCAAGTACCCCAGCTTCACGGATTTATCGCCCCCCATGGAAATTGAGAAACGCTTCAGCTCAGCAGGCTAAAATAATAGCGTCGTTTCTAACGTCGCTGCTTCGATATGGCCTGTAATTTATTCCAAGAATTCTTAGGATCCTGAGCTGCATGCCTAACAGGTATTGTAAGTCTGGGCGAAAGGTGGAGTTTAAATAAAGTAGAGTAGTTAGAGGTCCCTAAGAACAAGAAATAGTCGTCGCTCTTCCCCCTCCGCTCCGAGAAATTATTTCGAGAAACTCAACCACTCCAAACTGAACTCCTTCTCGCAAGCCTATTACGCAGTATACAGAAGATTCTCAGAGCACGGTTCCAAGCAAGGTTCGCACTGTTCGCAGCCACATGTCTGGAGTAAGCCATTAGGCTCAAACCCTTACCTACCCAAAAACTCCACACCGGACCCCGCGTACATTTCTCCTCTCCCGCGCACTTGTCGCGTCATTCCCTGCCCCAGTGTGCTGTAGCCAGTTGGAATTCGCAAAATCGCAGCCACATCCTGATTTCTTGAAGAATCATTGCGACTTTGAAAGGTTAATTACAGCAGATCACGTTTACAGTGAGAACCTGGGTCGGGATTCGGCAGGATGGCAGACTAAAACAGGACTGCTGAAGGAGCGGCGGAGGGCTCACACTCACATCAGAAGTCGTCTAGACCGCCAATTGCTCTGCCTTAGCCTTTGGCGCGGAGGCATCAGCGTCGGTTCCTTGGGGCTCACGGGCGGCTGTAATGCTTATCTGGGTCGGGAGAGACAGTGGCCCACTTCGTTTTGTTGAGTGGGTTGACTGGTTCTCCGCTGACAGTCTGGGCTTGTGGCAGGTTAAGAAGAAAAAAAAAAAAAAGAAAAAAAAAAAAAAAAAAAGAAAAGAAAAAAAGCAAAGAGAACAGGAAGCTGACGGAATCCAATTGTCCCGGCATGTCGGACACCCTCCGTTCCGCTGAACGGCAAAACATAACAACAATGCTATTCGGCCGCGACTCAAATGTTTTTGAAGTTGGGGCATGTAGCCCTGGGCCTAGTGTCTGGCAGAGTTCTGTTCCTTTCTGAAAGTTCTCCACACGCCTCGCAGGGCGTCACCGAGCAGATCTCCACCTTAATTCTTGTTTTCCCTTTGGGTGGAGAGGTTACCCTCAATGGGGAGAGGTAACCAATTTCAAGACGAATGCCCTATCTCGAGGCATTCGTGAAGTCCGCAAAGCCCAACTGTCAACTCCCTCGGCCCTGGCAACACGCCAATCCATTACGATAATCACCCCGGTCGGGTCCGAACCCGTTATCTCGGACAGTTCCTGAGAAATCACTCAATCGCGAATGAAGCATGTTTGAAAAACGGATAATTACTCGCGGTCCCACTGAACTATCTCCTATTGTGGCAGATGTATTGCTTGCAAAAACAGAATTTTCCTAGCCCCCTCTGAAAATTAGTAGCGGAACACTGCAAAAATCAAAATATTCACATTTCTCTAGAATCATCAATACATGTCTTTTTCATGTGGTTCGGAAGAACGTACGGCCGCCGGATAATAACGCGGCCGCTTCCGAATACGCTTACGAATGTAAGGGCCCTAGCGGCCACTAGACTGGCCGGCGGGACCATGAATTTCACATTTGGTCCCATTTGGTCTGGTCCCATACATTTCTTGGCATGAATCCCGCTGGGACTAGTCATCAAAAAAACATGCAAAGTGACTATTAATCAGATCTCAAAATGAGACTATGACTTAGAAAAATTAAGAAAGTGATTTTATTTAATCTTATTTAGTCTTATTCTTAGTATAAAGTTACTATTTTTAGAGATTTTAAAGTTCTTTTTAGACTATTTTTAATTTTTTAAAAAGTAATGATATTTGATAATACTTAAATGAGATTTAAAGTTATTTAAAGTAATAAAATGAATTTAAATTAAGAAGTGAAAATTATAATTTTATTTTAAAAATGTAATAAGAGTAAATAGTAAGTCTTACTAAGATAGTATAAAAGATATAAAGCTTGTATAATTGAAAGATTACTAGCTTGTGAAAAGTTATATGATGAAAGGATTAGTAATCCAGATCACATGACCTGACATCTCTACTCACCAGAGTAACTATACATGATGCTATATATAAAATTCACCTTCAAATCAAGTACAGGTACAAAAAATGACTGGAAAATGTGTAGTAATGAAAAATCAGTTATGAGATACATCATTTTCTATCTCTCTATTCCTTCATCTTCATATTCTTCTTTTAATATGTATATTTCAAACAGTTAATCTCTTTAACACAGGTCTTGTAATAATACTTTTATTCCATGAAAGCTTTGATATGTGTGAGGTTTTTCAGAATTGAAAGTGCAGTGATCTCAGAATCAGTGAGTAGATCTTCAAGACTATTTCTCACTGAAGATTCCCTCGCTGTAGATTCCCTCACTATAGTGATATTTCTTGTAGATATTGAAGAATTATCAGATTCAACTATGAGTTTCAGAGAGTTCAGTGTATTCTGCACTAAAAAGATAGATATTCTCACAGAGATATCATAGTCAATTCATCAATTATTAGTGAGTATGAGAAATAATGAACACTCAGATTGAATTTCCTCATCAATGAACAGATTATCAATTGATGAATCAGAAATTATCAAAGAAATTATTGCAGTGAATAGATCTGATGTCACTGAAGGAATTACTGCAGTCACTTTACAGACTGCATTGAGTAGAACCTTCAGATTGTGTGTTGTCAGTATTGATGAATTAGCAAGATAAAGATTCTTCTGAAAGATGATATTCTTTGATATGTATAAACGCCCGTTGAAGGAATTCTTGTGAGGTTTCATGAAACAGGCTGATACATTGATAATCTCTGCGAGGTTTGTTATCTGATAGGTCTCTGATTCATCT